ACTAACTAGGCCGTTAATATTGGGACCTTAATCTTATTGTCGGCTCATGATTCGAGGGGGAGAAATATTAGGGGACCAGAAGACCGAAAATTACTCCGTACACCAAGACGAAATATACCAGGTTCAACAACCCACGGCACTTCTGCCGAAAATCACCCGTACCTAACAAATTTCTTGAAACACACTGTGTTTAACATTTTTAACCCTGGACAACTTGGGTTAGTTCCTGTAGCTTAATCTTTTTCCTTTTTTTTTTTTCTTTTTTTTTTTTTCTTTCTCAAAACTCAAGAGCACGTACTCCGCAGGAGCAAATGAAATATGGAGAAACCAAAGAAAAGAGAAGTAGGCCAATGAAAAGGAAATAAAAATTAATTTTTATCCCTCCTGCTCTCTTTAGTTTCCCATCCTTCCTATCCCAGACAACATCGACGGTTCCCCAATCTCCTTCCCCTTTGAGGCGAGCGAAACGTGAGATTTGGTGTAAAAAACAGCCTCATGTGGCGTGCAGTTTATACTCCTAGTAGACTAGCCTTTCTCGTTTTTGATTAATTTGAATTACAACTTACAGAACGACAATACCGGCAAAAGCATGAGGTAGAGTTAGATAGCAGACGTCAGTTCTTCAAGCCACTAGCCGATCCCGGCAATGATGTGCAGACCGGGAAAACACGAGGTAGGGAAAAAAAACCCAAAACGAACAGGGGGATATCAATCAATGTTTATTGTTCCCTTATTCTTGTTCTTATTCTTCTTCTTCTGCTCCGCCTTTTGCCTTAGGACAACAACCCTCCCAAGCTTGCGGCAGGGCCCTGGTCTCCCCGTCGTTTTCTTTGTCTGCTTTTTTTATTTCTAAGAATTCTAGCGGCGTGCATACGTATATGTCAGCCCCGGCGATACGTATATCGTGAGAGAGATGACGTGAACTGCGGCTTCGCCGAGGCAAGGATCATCGCCCTTTGTTTATAGTATGGCCGGGTTAAACCTCCCGTTTAAGTTGATGATGAAGAGAACCGGTTGGGGTAAAGGGTTGATCGGCCGTCTCAGGCTAGATCACCGTCTCAGCTCACGGAAGGATCCCGTAGGTGTGCGGACTACGTGAATTTAGAAAAATTGGAATAAGTTAATGTGAGGAGTAAAAAAGGTTTGGATGGACCTGAAACAAGCCACGAGGGGTCTAGACTGGTACAGCTTAGCAATTGGCAAATGCGACATGTCGGATTTTGTTCCTAGGAGGTTATGTATCAGAGTGTTGGTTTTTTTTTTTTTTTTTTTTCTTTTTTTCCTTTGCTCCTTTTTCTTCTTCTCTCCTTGCTACTGTTTGTTTTGGGGGGGTGTGGGTTTGTATGTTGGTATACTTTGGGTCCGAGGGGGGATGCATATCCGTGGATTAGCTGAACGTGGGACGATAGATAGGGTTCCAGTATATCAGACCGTATTATTGTTCAATAGTCTTATGGGAAACATGGTTTTTTTAGGGTACCGAGTCAGTTACTTTAATGCTGCTGACTCAATCACACGATCTTCAGGGTCCGGAAGAAAGTTTGGGACGGGAAACCCTGTTTTTTATTGTCCGTATTTGTGCTGTGTTTAGTTACCGGTCTGATGGCGAACGGAGAATATTTTGACTTTTGAGTTTGTTTTCTTCGGACGGTATTGAAATTCTGGAAATACTGACGACGTGCAGTGAGACCCGGGATGTAATTGCCGTATTTCCCGACGTTTACCTTCTTAGCTTCTTTTACTTTCTTTCAATGTATGTGACGAGATAGTGGTGCCTTAGTAATGCGTTGATCCCATCAGGATCGGTGGCTCAGCGATTAGGTGCTGCGGTGGATTCACAGCCCACTTCTTTTGATTACATAGTTCGATTTGGACTGCATGGAATATGTCAACGTTCAATCTTCAGATCTCATATCCTAGTCCGATATACGTACGTGCTCCGCGTATGCTCTATATGATCTCGTCTAATAACGGGATAGAGAAAGATCAGCCATCTATCACGAGACGGCTCATGTCACAACGAGGAATACGTATACCCCGGGGAAGCAAGGCATGTTCGGGAGAAATAAGAAGAAAAATCAGCAAAGATCACCATGGTCCCTTCGTTTTTGCATTAACATCTGATAACAATCTATGAAGCATCACAGAAAAGTATACTATACTACGTAAGCAGAGACGTCACGGAGTGGGGCCAGGATTATGACAGAGAGCGTATCGAAGACAGCAGAGACAGCTAAGCGCTGCAGCTTAATCCTGCTAACAGCCCTAGTGCTGTGCACAATAAAAGATAATGAAGAGACACAGACCACTATCTAGTATCCTCGGCTTCCACACCTATCTAGACTTTTCCTTAGTCCGAAGCTTAGTGTTTTGGCCCTTGTGGCTCGTCATACGACCATACGTAAGCCAGCGTTTGTGAGCCACATCTTAGTGGAACCAACCTAAGGCAACAACATTTCCCCAAGGGTCAATTGCCTTTCTCCAGAGATTGCGGCGCTTCGCTAAGATGATAACTTTATTGTTCCCCTTCGACAACTTACGTAGGTGCATACGAATGCTCCGGTCCGGAGTGGGGCGGACGACGGATTAGGGCTGTCCGGTAGTAAGCGCCGAAGGAGTGTGATGGATGTCAACTGGGCTTAGCTGTTGGCCTGGCCGGGGTCCATGAATCAAATCCTGTGTGGCTGGTTTCCAGCAGGGCTTTTTCTTTTTCTTTTTTTTTTTTTTTTTTTGCGCTTGCCCTTCGTTGGGTCCGCTTTTTCTTTGTTTTCATTCGCTTGGCAAATCGGATTATCCGAACAAAGACTACCTCAAGATATGACTACGTACGCCGTACTAATAGTCCATCCAGGATAAAAGCGTTAGAGCCGCTCAAAACTCGGTAGTATTCGGGGACCAGCTTATTCTTTCTTGTAAGCTTAATTGATGATTTGCTGATGAGTGACTGCCAAGGCCAGTAATTAATCAAATCCGAGAAGCCCTAATCCTACTAGCGGGCCTCGTACTCCATCTGTTACGGTCATGGGTATTGACTGTGATGAGAATGCATGGGCAGTAAATTAGCTATTGCGAATTATTCCACTATTGCGCCTAAATTCCCGGCATGTAGCCAAACTATACAGTATAGTTGTATCAGATTCGTGTACTTTCTGTCCGGCGAGTCCAAGAGCAGGTACCGTATAACCTGCAGAACATTGTGGGCAACGTGTTGAATATGAGGAAACCGTCACTAGTGAGGGCCACTGAAGGATTATTGGTGTAGTTGAATGACTTGAACCTGTCATACTGCTCTACGACGAACAGTGTCGAAAATTCTGGTTTGGTAGCTGTGTTATACTAGTCCTCAACTGCCAAACCAGTGCATTCTGGTTGTGTGTACGCCCATACACAACAGAATTTGGGCATCTCAGACGCCCATCTTGCTGTTGTGTTCATGACACTCATGAGTCTATCTCAGAACAAAGCAAACATGACCCCCATAGGTTGAAGACGGTTCTGTCATGACGGTCTCCGGTCGGCACCTCACTGTGAGTTCATGTCAAACCTATCTACCACCCCTTGTTGTTCACGATGAAAACTCACAACGTGTCTGTCATCTTCTTAGGAAACTCACAGCGCCCTTCACCCCCTCCTGTCATCCTCCTCTAGTTGTCTCGCTGTCATGACCCTGACGTATGACGCTTCCCTCCACCTCAAATCACGAGCTCGCTCATACTCTTCTGTCTGAACACTATTGAGGCCCATGAGTCCAAGTGCGGGGCTCAGCGGCATCAACAGCCATACACCCGAGAACTGACCAGCTGGCGATTCAGACCGGTCGGGCTTGGACGTTGCTCTGAACACTTCTAGCCAGCAAAGTCTGCCATTGGCACAAAATGCACTAGAATCAATGGCCTCAATCTGTGGCTAGATATCTTTCAGAATAGTCCAAGGTAAGGAGACTGCCCCTTTTCCTATGTATGAGATATAGTCATGGAACTCGACACTAACAGATGAAAAGAAAGCTATAGGGTCAATGAGATGAAGCCGACTACCTACCTTGACCTACACCGAGGCCAACATACCAACCACAGCTGACGGAACCTATAAGTAGCATATACCAACGGCTTGGGGCTTCTGTCCAACTCTAACAATACTCCCAGTGGCACACAATGCGGACAGCCTACAGTCATTGCACGATATTGCGCCTTGAAACACGTGGGTATTTTAACAAAGTTGGTCCCCTGTCCAGCCTTGAATCCCTACACCTACGCGAGGACACAACAACAGAGAAAGGCATCTTCTCTCAAATACAGTCGGTTGTGGTTTATTTTTAGAACTGTGATGGCTCCTATTGGAAAGAAGCTACCAAGCGATGCGCTTGGGCGGTTATACAAAGGCGTCAGCGAAGGAACAAAGGCTAATATCCTATACACTAGAAGGGGTAATAACAAAGCGGTATGTATCAATACTAGGTAACATCCCGTGATCATCTTAGTCCCTGAAATTTGGGACTGTGAGTTCTCGACAGGCTTCGCTGCATCTAGTGAAAGGAGATTCGAACGTGAGCTAACAAACACATGCACATACAGGCTACGAGGGCACGGTTATCATCCGGCACTTTCTATATAATATATGTTCGTACCCTTTGAGTCACCGCGATGAGCAGTATCTGTTGAATGATTGCCATAATTGTCAAGGAGGTTCGACATTATATGTGCCAACAAGCATAATTTTCCAAGGTTCCGACGTATGTCACTGGATCTAAGACTTTGACTTTGGTATGAGGCTTATCATACATTCATATTTTCGAGAGACGTCAAAGCCCAAATGTAACGTCAGCTAATTTGTGACTAATGTATGGTATGCGATGGCCCAGGCGCCACTGCAGGGCTGCGCAGGGACCTTCCCTATTGTGGCTAAAGATGTCTCATATCATGCAGTAGTAGAAATCGCATCTATAAAAAGAAGCAAGTCTTTGTCAAGTTGCAATTATTCCATGTGATATCTTAATTGATTCTCACACACTCACGCACCGACTCGACTCGACTCAACCTGCGAAGTGCTCAGGAAGTTGTTGATGTTTGCAGGGAGTATGTCGAGTCGGGGATTCATAGTACACTACTAGTACAAAGCAACATTGCTCCTTCTTCTCCAATGGGCTTGGTTCGATAAGTATACATATACTTTGCCGCATTCCGATGGACTCATTTTGATTTCATCAAGTGTTCATACTGGTGAGTGGCGTGAGGATCACTACTGCTTACTACGTTAAATATCAGCAGTTGAAAGTTTGCCCTGGCATGCCTTCCCTTCACTGGAATGTAGGTATCCCTTATTCCCTTATTGACCCAACCCCCACTTGGGTATCACAACAAATACCAGCCAGGAAGCTGGTGTCGGATTGCTTTGGTTTATTCATACGGCAGATAGTGTATTCTATTTATGGCTGTTCTAGACTATGACTTTGGAGGAGCATCAGCGGGCATCCACACGATATACAACAGTCTCTCTAAGGACCAACGCGACCCGAACGCCTCAGGTATGTAGAATGTTAGCGATCGGTTTTGAACCAAATCAGATGTGTACTGTTTGGCAGCTTGTAGTATCCGGGTCGACTGCTGTCCCATTCCACACAACGGCCAAGCAACCGCCAGGGGGGCGGTGGGGGAAGGGATAGGGAGTCAATCGAAGGATATATCTAGCAGTTGACGATCGCTGACAGATTCAACTTAATACTTTATCGATCTGACGTTATTGGCTTCATATTCTCTAAGTTAATCGTTCTCTTCACCACAGCTTATTTCCTTTTCACATATCCAAACAACCTGATTTTGATTGTTTCAACTCAAGAAACATGGCTTTGCTTACCAAGGCATCATCCCTAGCTTGCCTGTTTGTCCTATCCTTCTTGGCTCTTGCCTCTATCAGCTACTCGCGCCCCATCATGGAAATCTCCAGATCTGGGACGTTGCATGCACGCAATGCGGACCCGGTACGTCATATGGACATTTCTTTGATTAGCAACTGGGAAAGGAAGCCACTAACGGTGTATGGCAGAGAATGATACCAGGCTCTAACGATCTGGTCGGTGATATCTTCAAAACTGTTGATCTGGATAACCTCGCGAAACTCAACAACTGGAAGCAAAACCAAACCACAAATGAGAGTAGCAGCACCTCGCCTACCAAAACACAAAGCAGCGTCACCTCCAGTGCCAACCACACCGCAAAGCAGACAACCCCGAGTGGACTGGCGGACCCTGAGGGCGACCCTTCCGTGTTTGTGTCGGGCCTATTGCAATTGCTATCGGATAAGTTCAAGCAAGCGTGGCATAGCAGTGATGAACACACCTTGAACTAGGGGTGTTCATGATTAGGAGGGAAATGTGACTGTTGATGATCGGATGATTGGTCTGTGTTTCTTCTATTGTGTTTCGTTGGATTTTCCTTTTTTTTTTTTCTTTGTCACTTCATTTCTGCGTCAATGCTCTGTTGAGCTGCGAGCAGCTGGGCTTCCCAACGAACTCTACCAGCGGTGTAACGATTGATGACAGAATAGGTAATGGCGAAAAAAAGTTCCGAAAAAATGCTAGTAATAATCACTTAGCTCGAAGAAACCTAAATGGTAACAATGACCATTCTAGGAAGGTCTTATGTCCGCATGGTTGTAGAGCCGCGACTGCGAGATCTATATCCTCCCGGCATACGTGATAAATCCGTACCCTTAACCCCGTGCCACGGCCCAGCAAAGTCTAGTCTTACATAGAACATACTCTCTACCACTGTTACTTACGGACTCAATCTCCACCCTACCCGTCCCTATTCCCTCTTATGGTCACATCATGACCCCACGGATAGGCCGAATGACCAAAATTCCAAGAATTATCGATCTTCGAAAGCAGCCAGATGGGGCGATATCCCAATTGGGTTGTGGTGATGGGGAGGCCCGCTGCAAGGTCGAAAGCTTGATATGAGCTGAAGTATACCGCCAATTCGATCTTATAAACCGCCGCTTTTTCGCCTCTCTGGGTGGAGATTCTTCGCTCCCACTTCCATTCAAACTACTTCATTTTAACTTAACAGGCTTTGCACTTCGAGTCGCACTTCAATTGTTCTGTTTTTCTCTGCACGTTTTTTCACCAACTTAAAAGCAATTTATTCATCTTGTGATACCATGCCTTCTCTTGTTGGTCGGGATGTTGGCCATACTGGCTATGGGTTGATGAGTATGTAAAGTTCTTTCTTTCTTTCTCCTTTGCTATATTTCTCTTGTGAGATCCACGCTTGTTATAGTTGTGTCTTCTCTTGTCCATGATATACCATGCAAAATACAAGCAAGAAAAGAGAAGAAGAAGAAAAAAAAAAAAAAAAAAGAAGCAAGGACCGCACCCAGAACCGAACGACGAATAGTTAACCCACCACTACAGGAATGACTTGGGTCCCTCAACCACCCCCGCAAGAACAATGCTTCGAGGCTCTGAACACCGCCCTCACCCAGGGCTCCAATTTCTGGAACGCCGGTGAACTCTACGGCACCCCCGAATTCAACTCTCTGCATTTGCTCCATAGTTACTTCGCTCAGCACCCGGAGAATGCAGACAAGGTTGTTCTCAGCATTAAGGGTGGGTTGAAGCCGGGCCAACTGGCGCCTGATGGTTCCGAGGCCAATATTCGGCGCAGTGTGGATGAGTGTCTTCGTGTGTTGGATGGGAAGAAAAAGATTGATATCTTTGAGTGTGCGAGGCAGGATCCGAATACTACTGTTGAGCAGACGGTTACTATTCTTGCGCAGTTGGTCAAGGAGGGGAAAATTGGGGGCATTGGGTTGAGTGAGGTTGATGCGGAGACTATTCGGAGAGCGTATGTTTACTTAACTTTTCTTTCCTTTTTCTTTTTTTACGTTGTTGTTGTGCACCTCTGTGTTTATGGTTCTTTGATCCTTGGTTTTTATGATTTACGGTTTCTACTGGATTTTGACTAACTTGGCCATACAGACACAAGGTGCACCCAATTGCAGCCGTAGAGGTTGAGATGTCTCTGTTCGACCTCACCATCCTCCAGAACGATGTCGCGAAAGTGTGCGCGGAACTCAACATCCCCATTGTGGCATACTCGCCATTGGGACGAGGTGTCTTGGCTGGCGCCTTCACCACAGCCGCCGACATCCCCGACGGCGATTTCCGTAAGATGTTGCCTAAGTTCCAAGATGAGGCAATGAAGCAGAACATCAAGCTGGTCAATGAGGTCAATGACCTGGCCTCTCGGAAGGGCGTTGCTCCGGTTCAGATCGCACTCGCCTGGGTGCTTACTCTTAGCGGCAAGCCTGGCATGCCTACGATTATCCCTATTCCTGGTGGTACCACGAGCGCCAAGGTAACACAGAACTTGCAAGCGCCTCGTCTGACTGATGCAGAGATGGCTGAGATCGATGCAATTCTGAAGCGGAATGAGATTGTTGGGAGTCGGTACTGAGGGGTTACGGTACAGTAATGGATATTTCGATTTTCAATGATGTCTTGGTGCATTTGTCATTATATAAACTAAATAATAGACAAAATTAAATTTCAATATATTGTTGCACAGCTTTAGAATGATATGGTATCCTAGATGATTCTGCGATCGTTAGCGCTCTGTTGACTGCAATGATGTTGGAACAATCAATTGTGCAGAACGAATAGAGTCAGATCAAGTGTAGAATGTCAACATGCAATCTCACCACAGTAAACTGAGGAGATTGTCCGAATTGCAGAATTCTCGATGGAAAATCATCATGCAAAGAAAGATTTTGATGACCGCGTAGTCAATGTACGTACCGTTAGCTGATATTACAAAGTGGTAGTCAAATCTGCAGTTAAGTCTGGTATATAAAAACAATTGCATCCCATTTAATAACATCCTAGTCGTGGTGGTAATCGACTGAAAAGGTCATTTCAATTCCAGAAGATTGACCCCACGACATGAAGTATAGTTCACAGTGAGGGAAAGGAGCAACAAGAAAAAGGGGAGAAGAAAAGAAAGAAGGAAGAAAGGGCCGGAAATGTTGTGGGCGGTATTTTTGTCTGTCCGCAATAGCCTCGTCACGTGCCGTGCGGGCTGTATACTCGATCGCCCCAGGCTTAACACCTCCATTGAATGATTGACGCTTTGTTTCCGTCGCAAGACCACCCGGTGTTAGTCCTTGTCGAACAATTGACTTCACTGGTTTCTCCCGTACTATTCCTCCCCCGCTCTCTTCCAATGACCGAATCTCCGGGTTCTCCTCTCTCTTCCATCGCCTCCGACGACATGTCGGATCGCGAGGAATTGAAGCAGGGTCTCTCCCCCTCGACCTCAAATATGCCTCCTTCCAAGCGCCGCCGCACCGGCATCGGATCCTGGGATCGCAATACCCCCGTCTCAACATCCTTCCAAGATGATATTCCCCCGGCCTCCCCGTCCTCTTCCATCTCCTCGGACACCTCGGGCGACATCCCCAACTCCCCCGGCACAATGGCCCTTATCGGAGGCACCCAGGACGACGACTACAGCGGCCAAGGCAACGACCAGGTGACCGTATGCCGGTGGGAAGGATGCGATGCAGGAGATTTGGGAAACATGGACGACCTAGTCCAGCACATTCACAACGAGCATGTCGGCAGCCGACAGAAGAAATATTCCTGCGAGTGGTCCGATTGTACTCGAAAGGGTCAAACGCATGCAAGCGGATACGCGCTGCGCGCACATATGAGAAGCCATACGAGGGAGAAGCCTTTCTACTGTGCGCTACCAGGTGCGTTCAGTCCCCTTAACAGGACGCTTATCAGGCTCAACCCTCTTCGGGGTGAAGTAAAGGGCAAAGCAAAGCAAAGCAAAAACTAACTTGCGACCAGAATGTGACCGCAGTTTCACCCGTTCAGACGCCCTCGCCAAACACATGAGAACAGTTCATGAGACGGAAGCTCTTCGACCTTCTGATCCAGTACCGAAGCATCATAATGCGCCTTCCGCCGTCGGCACCCCTGCAGGGACACCCGTGAGCAAGCTCCAGCGCATTAAGTTAAAGGTTTCCCAGCCGCCTAAAGGTGACTCCGAGCTGCCTTTTGAGCATAACAATGATGAGGGCAAATGGCTGGACTGCTATCTGGACAATGGGGCGGAGTCCGGGTTCCACTGCGAGCTCGGCTTTCAGAAATATGAGAGCTCGCTTCCGCCGCAACAACTCTATCGACTTCTCCGTCGACAAATCCACTGGGCCGAGAAGGAAACAGCAGACCTACGCGATGAGTGGGAGAAGATCATACCGAAAAGAAAACATGCATTTCTGGAAAAGGAAGCCATCTTCGAAGACGTCTGTGATGCTGAACTGCGACTATTCAGTCTCCTCATGGGAAGCGACGCCGCAGCGCCATCGTCATCAGCCGCTGCCACAAACGGAGCAAAGAAGCAACCCGAGGCAGCAGATACAGAAATGGCGCTTAACCCCGAACCAGAGTCGGCGGCAGCATGAAAGAGATAATTTATCATTTTTCTTTTTCTTTTCTAACTTGGGTCGATTAACTTACCTCTTTTCGGCCCTCGTCTTCCCCTTCTACCACGCCTTATTCCCCTTCTCATATATCTTCTCCCTCTTTTGTCTTCTTTCCTGTCCTTGTCTTCTAGGGGTATAACTTTCATGAACCAAGATACCTAATCAGATCATGTTTTTTACACGTTTTGGAGCACGGTTTGTCAGTCATGTTGTGATTTTCTCTCTTGTTTTCGGCAACACTGGTCCTGAGTTTTATTATTTTGTACTTTTATGGAATAGGAATTCGATCCTTGCTTTTCATTACTCTGCTATACTGTTAAAGTGTGATGTAGATCTATATCCAAGCTGTCTAATAGAGAACAGGGCATATAAGTCGTTTGTAGGGGTACAAGTGGCCCGAAACTGATGCCATTTAGTTTTCCTATGCCATAGGACCAGTTGGCTGTTTTCATTACTAGCAAGAGAAGGAGGGAAAACAACAGGTAAATTGGAACGTAATCTTTGTTATTTTCGTTGTGTCCATTTATCAACACAGATCGCAGACAGGGTTATCCATAGATGCAAAGTCGCAGATATTTCCGACCGCAACCCCGAGTAGCTCAGAAATGAAATAGTAATCAGACGTCTAATGATATCTCAATATGTCTCCCAGAGGAGATGAATGATCCAAAGCAAGTCAAACTCCGGCAAGGCACCGCCAATAAGATACATGAAACGAAGAGAACACCCATCACCGCAGGGCCCCCTACCAGTAAAAGAGGGACCCTGTTGTGGAATATAACGCGAGAAGGGAGATAGCAACGAAAAGCAAAATGTGAGGCAAGGTCCATTACTCCGCTAACAGGGAGAGGACAAGCTCAGGAAACAGATATGCGAACATGTCGGCAAGCGTTTTGCTCCAATCGCAGAACAGAAATAAATGTGAAACATAAAAAGCCAAGTTATATCATGGAAACATCATATCAAGTCCACTCATGCTCAACACTCCTTCATATATCATACCAGACGCCGTCGCCATGCTTTCCCAATGATGCATATTTACCGTGAATGAAGAAAGAAAGAAAACGAATACACCACAGAATCGAAGTGGACAATCTTTTTTGTTTTGGCTGCACCACGCGAGCACCGCTAGCTTCCATTGGAAGCTGGGGCAGCAGCTGCAACTTTTTGCGCAGCCATCAACTTTCGATACATTTCCTGAAGTTTGGCTCCTCCAGCTTCTTTATTAGGCCAATGATTATCCGCAACAAAATGCCTATCATTTAGTCAGTGAGGGATATCGAGACAAGAAATGCGAGAAACAAACCATAAACGAGTCTCTAAGGAATGAACAGAGCCTTGTCCCTTCAAAGTACCATCTATAAATTCACCGATCTTACGGAGAAGATTCCGTAACTCAGAAGCCCGCTCCGCTTTATTCGGGTAGTTCTCCTTGGTAACAGCTGAGACCTTCTTGAGGTCTTCACGAATAGGCTTAAAGAAGAGGCGTGCAACGTCCTCCTTGCCTGCAGAATAACCGTTCTCACTATTCTTCCGGCGACGAACATCTTCACTCGACGCATCGGACGTCCTATGGCGGGCGCGTTCGCTCTCATGAAAAGACCTTGGTCGGGAGTCGTAGTTCGGAGTGTGATGGCGTTCGACGCTATCCCTAGCCCCATGAGTATGAGAACGATGTCTTGACCGATCCATTTCACGATGGCCTTTGCGTGAGATCGAAGGCGCCGGGGAAGCAGAAACGCTAGCACTAGCGTGGGGCCGAGAGCCTTTGCGGTTATTGCGGTGGTGATTTTCGACAGCCCTCTTGGCATTGACGCTTGAACCATTGGTAACCTTGTCTTTGAGAACAGATAGCAGATAATCTGCCCGGCGGACAAGATGAACAGCGCCGGGAGATTTAGTAGACTTATCTTCTGCGTTCAGACGCTCGTTTTTCCGTTCAACCCGGTGCTCCTCCAGGAAAAACTTATCCCCAAGTGCAAGATCCGGATCATCTCGGATCTGAGCCCAGGCACCATAGCCGTGGCGTATGATGCCAATGCAAAGCATTCCATCTTCCCGGGCACCCCATGGACAGGAGTAGTCAGCCGCCTTGGTGGCTTCGGGAACCCGAAAATTCTTGAAATCAGATACCGCGTTTGTCGCTTCCTTCAAAATCCGCATCTCAGCGGGGCGCTCAACAATGGTATATGCGTTAAGACGCTTAACACCATGTAGGTCAAACAAAACAGCTTTCTTCTCCTTCTTAGTAGGCATTTTGCCTGCGTGTTCAAGAGCTTCCATCTTCTCAATATCCTCACGGACAAGAGAGGAAGCCTTTTCAGTAATCTCACGAAGTGCAGCCTTAACAGTCTCCCTATCACGGTCCAGTAGACGCGCCTCACGGATAACATCCTCTTCGCGATCATCTATATCACCATAACGCAGGAAGGCCCGCAACAGGTGGCGGTATTCCTTCTCTATAAGTGGTCGTTTGGGGTCCAGTTGCGTATTCGAATCGGATTCGTCGCCATCATCATCAAGGGAAACTTGAGCCCTCGCAAGTCTCTTTGCTTTACGCTCTTCACGGGAATCTCGTCCATCCCCAGGCACATTACGTTTGCGTGGCCGATTTTGTTCGATAACCTCGGCGAGGTAGCGTTCGTCAGCTTTCTTTTTCTCCTCAGCTTTGATTTCCTCCAGCTGCTCCTTGGGGATAATGTCGTCCCATGTAAGGTCATCCACCTTGATATCGACATAGTCAAAAGCCTTGAGAAATTCTTCACCGCCATCAGCCTGGATATCCTCGGCTTGTTCGGTCTGATGTAATTCAGCATTTGCAAGCACGGAGTCGATGTCAAGCTGCTCCAATTTCTCCTGGTTTCCAGTCTGTTCAAACATTCTCTGGCCACGACGCTTGAGAATACGGGAAATATCCTCAGTCGAGTTCGGTTCAGTGATGGAGATTCCATTTCGCGCCATCTTGTTTTGAATCTCTGATGCCTCCTTGTCGGTGACACCACGCTGGATCGTGATGAATTCCAAAAGAAGCTTATTCCGGGCCCTCTCAATCACTTCTTCTTCTACTGTATCTTTGGAGACTAGACGGTACACACTAACCGGCCTCGTCTGTCCTATACGATGTGCTCTTGCCATGGCCTGCAGATCGGCCTGGGGATTCCAATCCGAGTCGAACAGAACAACCGTATCAGCCGTCATGAGGTTAATTCCCAGACCACCTGCTCGTGTAGAGAGAATGAAGGCGAAATCGCTGCTTCCAGGGGCATTGTAATGCTCAATGGCCAGGCGACGAGAAGCCGCCGGAATTGTTCCGTCAAGCCGTTGATACGTATAGCCACGAAACTCCATATATTCGCCAAGAAGGTCAAGCATTTTAACCATTTGACTGAAGATTAAGACACGATGGCCATCACGTTTCAACTTCGCTAAGAGCTGGTCGAGAAGCATCATCTTGCCACTACTGGTGATCATGGCTCTCAACACATCCTCTCGGCGAGTGCTACCATCCAAAATCTTCGCTTCGGCATTCGGAAACATGAAAGGGTGATTACTGGCTTTCTTCAATTCCATCATAATATTCAAGAGGGACTGTTTTTGGCCCTTAGCGCCGTCGTTCAGCGCAGCATAATTTTTCGTAAGAATGTTCTTATAATACTCCAGCTGAACATCCGACAGCTCTACTCGAATGATCTTTTCCACCTTGGGAGGCAGGTCTGATTCGACTTTAGATTTCGTTCGCCGAAGCATAAAAGGTTGTATGGCCTTCGTCAACTCCGCAAGCTTGTGAGAGGCAGCCTCCGCGTTCAAATCCATGTCGGCATCAATGTCAACCACGCCAGGATTTAAGAAGTCCAGAAGGGCAGAAAGTTCAGCGAGGTTGTTCTGAATAGGAGTACCGGTAATAAGGAGCCGAGCAGGAGACCTAAACTCGAGAAGCTTTGCATACAGCTGAGATTCACGATTCTTAAGTCGGTGTGCCTCATCGATAGCCATGAATTGCCATTTAAATTGGCTCAGGAACGCGGAGTCTAGGAGGACATATTCATAGGTTGTTAGGAGGACGTTGAACTTCGGCCGTCGAGGATTGCCATCAATCATGAGCTCGTGCTCTCGTAAAACTGTACGAGCAGCTTCATTACCGTTATAGACAACATAATTCAGGTCGGGCGTCCAGTTATCAAACGTCTCCGCCCAGGACGGCATGGTAGACAAGGGGACGACGACCACAAAGGGCCCTTGCTGGCGTCTAACATGCCGTAGCCAGTTAATGAAAGAAACAGTCTGTACAGTTTTACCTAAACCCATTTCGTCGGCGAGAACGACGTTGCGGTTCTTGACCCAGTTGAAGGCCATAAAATTGACACCCTTAACCTGAAACTCCTTCAACTCGCCGTTGCGCAAGAAGCTTGGGGTACCCTTGATGGCTTCAAATGACTTTCGGCTGGCAGGATTGGACTCCGACTTATCGGAGACTGGAGGCCGAGACGAACGATCTAAGAAGCGATCTATTTCGCACTGAGCGATTTCACTAACGAGTTCCTCGTTTTCCCACGTGCAGGAGTCGTAGAAGAGGCGTTTCCATTTCACGAGGTATTCGGTTCCCTCATCGCCTTCCCGCGTAGCAATGACTCGCTCAACCTGTTTGTAATCCTCAATGGCGTCTACGTCTCTTTCGCGATCCAGGTTCCACTTTTCCCGATCCTCAGGGGCTACATCCTCGTCTTGCCTCAAACGAATTTCTTCATACAGGACCTTTCGGATGTAATTGTCAAGGCGGCGAGTGCTGCGGCAGTTTGCAAGAGACTCGGCAGTTTCCCATGTCGCGTGGTAATGGGATTTGCCTTGCCATTTTATGTAGAACTCGAAGTCATGGCGATCGAGGTCGGTATTACTAGAGTCTACATCTGCTTTCAGGCGGTGGTTGAGAACAATATCCACGGCAGGACGGTCATCTTCCACTGCATTCACCCAGTAATTCTGCATTAGATCATCTGGGTCATCCTCGAACATTGAGTCATCATCGTCCTCATTGTATGTGGAGACCCTAGCAGCATTCCTTGTCGAGAAGCGGACCTCGGCATGAGAAGGGGCGCTTGCTGACGCCTGTTGTCGGCGACGTTTCGCCTTGCTTGCACGAGCACGGCTGCCCCCGTATTCGGATTCAGATGTTTCTGAATCTTCCGAGAATGAAGACTGGGTTGCGGAGCGGGAGGGGCGCTTGGAGGTTTGTTGTGAAGCTACAGGGCGCCGACGCTTTGAGCGAGGCGCCACTGCATCCGAGTCTGAGTCTGAGAGAGACTGGGCTACCTGACGTGTCGTACGAGCGCGTCCACTACGGCGAAGTCCGTACAGATCTGGGTTCTGTCTGATATAGTCCGATTCATTGACCGAGGATGATTTCCGTTTTGTCCCCCGGCCGGATTCAGATGATGAAGAATTTTCGTTGCTGGACTGGCTACTGTCCTTCGCGTTGTCCTCCATTGCAGAATCATCCTCGTACCCTTCTGCATCAGGAGAGTCGGCGTTGAAGGACTCGTCCGCGGCGTCAGGATCCGGGGAAGAGTCGGAAACGACATGGTTGTCAACAGAATCGAACATGTTGCTGTCACCATCACTAGCTAAAGGCTCATTCCTAAAGCTGGCAGTGTCGGAGGCAGGCGAGTCCGGATGGCCATTGGCGAAAGCCATCGCGATCGAGGGCTCCGAGGTAGATGGGATCACCATGCTAGTAGCTATGTGAGAAGAGACATTAGCATTGAAGCTCAGGACAGGCCTGGCGAGGGATCAAAGATACAGCGCGACATAAAACAGCAGTACGCGACTCAGTTTCCGATCGTTAGGAGCCTGGAAGTCAAGACAATCAGGTAGGAGGCAGGATATGATGCACGGATGTTATTTTTGATGGAAGCTCTGATGAAACGCGACGAAGAGGGTTGAAGTGAGTATTATAATTGTAGGGACAAAATCATAGGCAAAACCAGACCCAGGAGAAGAGCTACATCCAGACCTTGACCTAAAGGAATTCAGAAAACCTCAACACAGGATATGGAGAGGAATTCTTGTGTTTCTCGGTGGGTCGAGACCGTGGAGAAGTACCCCAGCCGACAGTACCAGGACACGTCTTGAAAAGGCTAGAAAAGAAGAATAAAATACTCACAATCCATAGCTTGGTGACCCCAAGGCAGGATAAATTGAGGGAAATAATGGTGAAAAAGGTAAAGAGCGAGGTGGGGAAGAGGGGGGGGATGAAGTGGTGGAGAGGGCGAGAAATGAAGACCGCTGAGAATATGATGAGGGAGTAGAAAGAGAGTTGTACGTCGGCTGGAGGTGAGCAAGTCTCCGTGAAGGGATTGGCCGGCAGCCTGATCCTTCAGGCTGTCACAGCCCACCATCCTCTGTGTGGCTTAGCGCCGGCACAAGCGAGACTCCAATAGGCTTCACGGCGCCGGTTTATCACGTGCTTCGGTGTGTCGGATCATATGATATTCCGGAGAAAAATCGTGGGACTCACCCACCCACCAATAAGAAGCGGAGGAAATAATGCTGTCATGCTTTATGCCTGAGGCAGGAACGGCTGCCCACAATGCCTGACATAGTTTTCTTCTCCAAGCCCCTCTTCCTCGAGGCCTTTCAGCACTCCTTTCCTCCACTTCAATACCTGCTGGCAATCTACTTGCGCAGTTATCTGGTGTCTCTTATCTTCCGCCAGCACGACTGGAGCAGTGTCAAGTTTTCTGCCCGGTAGAGGCCACTCCACTGTGGACATTGCTTTTGCAACTACTTATACATATATATCGCCATCAGTCGCCCCATTTGCGCGTCGATACGACTTGAACAGGCACCATGTCTGACAAGCTTACCAGGTATGGTCCCTTGTGGTGTGATTACTGTCATATACTTAAAAGCATTCACTAATACGATTTTGTTTATAGAATTGCTATTGTCAACAGTGACAAAGTAAGTTCGAAAGTACCCCGCTGTCGATTATCTAGGTATACGACTTTTTTGCTCACGCATACTTCTTCAATTCAATCAGTGCAAACCGAAGGTACGCGATACCGCACCTGCTTTCTATTCCATTCACAGAGTGATACTTATATGTTCGCAGAAATGTCGCCAGGAATGTAAGAAGGCTTGCCCCGTCGTCCGTACGGGTAAGCTCTGTATCGAGGTCACCCCCGAATCGAAAATCGCCTTCATCTCCGAGCGCCTCTGTATCGGTTGCGGTATCTGTCCTAAGAAATGTCCTTTCGGTGCGATTCATATTATCAACCTGCCGACCAACCTGGAGACCCAGGTCACCCACCGTTACTCCGCGAACAGTTTCAAGCTTCACCGTCTTCCCATGCCTCGTCCTGGACAGGTCCTTGGTCTTGTTGGCACAAACGGTATCGGAAAGAGTACCGCGCTGAAGATTCTTAGCGGAAAGCTAAAGCCTAACCTTGGACGTTATGACAACCCTCCTGACTGGGAAGAAATCTTGAAGTATTTCCGTGGTTCCGAACTGCAGAGTACGTTTCCTTTTGGCGCCGCGAAGAAGAAAACAACGGTTGCTAATACTATGCAGACTATTTCACCAAAGTGCTGGAAGATGACCTGAAGGCCGTTGTGAAGCCTCAGTATGTCGACCAGATCCCTAGGGCAGTGAAGGGTCCAGTCCAGAATGTCGGCGATCTCATCAAAGCTCGTGCTCAGATGGACAACATGGAGCACATTCTTGATGTCCTTGGTTTGTAGAACTTACACGTTTGGCTCGTTTCATCACTAACCAGGATTTTTCGCAGAGCTTCGCCAAGTTAAAGGACGTGACATTGGTCATCTCTCCGGAGGAGAGCTTCAGCGATTCGCCATTGGTCTGGTCTGCGTCCAAAAGGCCGACGTGTAAGAGGGATTTGCCCAGTTTTATGCTTGTGACCTTGGTTCTGACAGAGTTATAGTTACATGTTTGACGAACCGTCGTCTTATCTTGATGTCAAACAGCGTCTCGCTGCCGCCCGTACAATCCGAGAGCTTCTGCGACCCGACGACTATGTTATCGTTGTTGAGCACGATTTGGCTGTCCTTGACTACCTTTCCGATTTTGTTTGCGTGCTTTACGGAAGGCCTGCAGTTTATGGTGTGGTCACATTGCCCTCTTCGGTCCGTGAAGGTATCAATATCTTCTTGGATGGTCATATCCCGACTGAGAACCTTCGGTTCCGAGAGGAATCTCTCACCTTCCGTCTCGCCGAGGCAGGTGATGACTTCATGGTTAACAGAGACCGTGCTTTCAGCTATCCAGCCATGGAGAAAACTCTTGGTAACTTCCACTTGAAGATTGATGCCGGCAACTTCACGGACTCGGAGATTGTCGTCATGATGGGAGAGAATGGTACCGGCAAGACCACTTTCTGTAAGATGCTCGCTGGCGCCGAGAAGCCCGATAACAATGTCTCGGTGCCCAAGTTGAACATCAGCATGAAGCCTCAGAAGATTACCCCCAAGTTCCAAGGCACTGTCCGTCAGTTGTTCTTCAAGCGTATCAAGGCTGCTTTCTTGTCGCCACAGTTCCAGACCGACGTCTACAAGCCCCTTAAGATCGACGACTTCATTGACCAGGAGGTCCAGAACCTGTCTGGTGGTGAATTGCAGCGTGTTGCTATCGTCCTGGCTCTCGGAATTCCCGCCGACATTTACCTGATCGATGAGCCTAGTGCTTATCTCGACTCCGAGCAGCGTATCGTGGCTGCGAGGGTCATTAAGCGTTTCATTATGCACACCAAGAAGACCGCTTTCATTGTCGAGCACGATTTTATCATGTCTACTTATCTTGCTGACAGAGTCATTGTTTTCGACGGCAAGCCTTCCATCGATGCGCACGCCAACGCGCCCGAATCTCTGGTTACCGGCTGCAACAGTTTCTTGCAGAGCCTGGATGTTACCTTCCGTCGTGATCCCAACAGTTACCGCCCTCGTATCAACAAGTACCAGAGTCAGATGGACCAGGAACAGAAGTTGAGCGGCAACTACGTAAGTCTCTTTGGCTAGTGTTGCACATGAGCTTGATGCTGACATTTATCTTCTTTAGTTCTTCCTGGAGGAAGAGAATTGAAAAGGTTGTCCCAGGGAAGCATGACCGCGACCGTCGTAGAGATTATGATGATCGCGACTCCCATCGGCGGCAAGATCGACGTCGCGGGAAACGGAGGGACCTTCGGTTAGTGGCGTTTTTCGGCGTTACCAAGGCTTCAACTCAAACTAGGCGGCGCCGTCTTCGTGGTGTGCGCCCTCTTGGTGATATGGATGGTGCTTCGGAGGAGGAAGACGATGAAGAAGACAACAATGACTAGGGCCGGTGTTCTACCTGTTCCAGTCCGCTTCGCTGCGTCTAGTTGTCGTCTCTCATTGTTGTCCTTCTCACACCCACACCCACACCTCTGTCCGCTAAATTAACATTTGCCTTCACCATGTTCGTAGGTGGAGACATAGGACCCTAGTTCAAATGGGGGATTTTTTGGGTAATGGTTTTTTGGATGGCGTGATCATGCGGAGTTGTGATTGTCAAAAGTTTTGATGATTTTATGGCATAGATGGTCACTTGGCCGGCATGTAGATGATTCAGCGAAGGCAAAGGGACTGGATATAGGTCAAGATAGCTGACCATAGTTCATATTCTTCACTTGTCTGTGAGCAGCCTCGTTACTCATACTCGTATTGTATATATGGTAGTTGAATGAAGTAGTGTTCACTTTTTGCAATTTGCGTGTGATACTGGGTACGCCCAAGTTACTGGTCATGTAAGAAATTCAGATATTCCAGTGACTTAAGGTTGGCAAGTCAAAGACCTTTTGTAACCCCAATTGCCTCTGCAAAGATCGTAACTTAAGCGGGAATGTCCAATTGATAACCCCTAGGAAATCTTTGAGCATACATCTAGATGGTATATTATAATCCTGATATACAATTTTCTTTGCCTTCTTTTAGGCATCCTCGGTGACATGATCCTTGTTAATGCTCACACCATGATACTACTTCGGATAGTAACAAAACCCGAAAATATATCTTCCCGCCTTAAGAGAACAACCAACATCTGGATCATTCAAAACGGTAGTCTATACAAATAGAAACCGCTATAATAGCAAGAGGCACCTTTCTCTGTTTTTCAAGATACCCTACGACCAAAAGCCGTGTACTGGAACATGTCCGCGTTTTCAGAAACTTAGCTATGGATGAGTACCTTAAGTCTGGATGAACCCACGTATCTGGAGCCACGAAGTACTAGAAGAAGCGAAGCACGAGGAGATATCATGAACAGCACAGAGTTGTCTGAGACTCTGCAGACACTGGTAAGGATATGCTCTCTAAGTCCGCTCTGAGAAACCACGCGATAACAAGACCAGGGTTGAGTACACCGAGAGACTCATTCAATTTGGCTTGTCCTGAACAAATAGCAAGATTGGTGACTATAATTTGATATTTATTTTTGATCCTGGCACTGGATGTTTCTTGTCGTTGCTCTTTGTGAAAGGATTGTTGTCATGATAACCCAACGACTTTAGGGGGTGTTTCATTCATATACTGTAAATTATTAGAAAGGCTAGGGATTCTCCCCTCGTCCCCTCACGAGACCCTCCATCCCGAGTATAGCGAAAATGTATTGGCCCTTGATTATCATTACAGTATGTCTAACAGCCTTGGTTGCCCAGTGGCATACCTATGGAGAAATCTTCCAAACAGCCCCGGAAGCTCGACCTCTAACTTGAAACAAATAACTTCCACCATGACTGCAGGGAAATTACTATCGAGAACATATAGGACACCTGTACGGTACTACCGAACTGGATGACGGGTGATATGGGTGATAACTAGAGACCAACTCTAGTGATTTTGAAAAACGAACAGGCCAATGTAACAACTGTGTTTTAGAGGCGGCTTTGGGATCCCGGTAGCAAGTTGATATGGAGCGTAATATATAGGCAACTCAGAGACTTTCCCAAGGAAAGCTGCTCGTAGTATGCTCTACGGTGAAGAGGGAGACCACAGTTTAGGTCATGGATAGTCCGGCGTACATCTTGACGTTAAGAGGATGGAATAAGCATATTGCCAATGCCTAGAACCCTTTTTTCTTCACTTGAAATAGATGTATTGACTTCCTAACTGCATACCCGTTCATAATAATACTTAAAAATACTAATCTTCCTCGATCTCTCCTTCCTCACTACCAGAATGAACGGCCTTCTCCTCCTTCTTTGCTTCCTCTACGGCTGGGGTGCGCTCGCGACGGTCTTTGTCACGCTTGGGACCTCCACTGCGCTCTCGTTCGCGGCTGTCGCGACGATACCGCTTAGCAGAGCGACTGGCAACGCTTTCTGTATCGCTATCACGTCTGCGCCGACGGTCGTTGCTGACGGTGCTTCGAGTGTCAGCACCGTAGTCCAGTTCGTCGCGATTGCCCCGTGGATCACCGCGCGTGCGATAGAGTCTTTCACGCTCTTCTTCTCGGTCGCGGCGTTCGCGGTCATAGTGGCTGAGAGAACGTGTGCTTCGTTCACGATCCCAATCGCGGTCACGGTCACGATCACGATCACGATCACGCTCGCGGTCACGGTCACGCTCGCGGTAGCGGTCCCTATCTCGGTCTCTTTCTCGATCACGCTCTTCTCGCCTCTCTCGCACCGGTGAGAGCCCACTAACCTTCCGGTAGGAACGCTCGCGGTCTGCCTGGGCTTTACGCCGGTCCGCCTCGTAGGCATCCGGTTCTGGGGTACGACTAAGACGACTAGAAGCTCCTCGCCTCTCGCCCCTATAGCTACGATGATCACGGTCACTGCGGTCATAATGATCGCGTCGGCTACCACGATCTCGGTCACGGTCCCGATCGACATCCTCTTCCTTCTCTTTTAGGCGGCGGATGACCTTGTCAAAAGCAGCCTGTCGAAGTTCATCCGATTCGATGGCCTTATACTCCTCGTACTTTTCTACCCTGGGACGCACTTGATCCCAAGTATCTGTCGGTCGGACAGGAGGCTCCAGACGTTTGATCCGCGAGCGTAGGGCATCAACAGCACGGCGCTGATGACGATCGGCCGCATGCTTTTCCTCTTCAGTCCGTCGAATTGCTTTATCCTGAATGCGCTGGAAGATAAGTTGAAGGATCTCTTGGTCAAGATTGGCCGTGCGGCGATCAGCAAGCACAATGGCGTTGAATTCATCGAAGGTAGTCTTAGGCGTAACATCGAAGCGTTTGTCCTGCGAAAGGCGTGTTAGTAGACAAATAGCAAATAAGTCAGGACCACTCACGTCAAGAACATCCAAAACATCATTTCGCGGGCCTCGAAGCGACCGCTCTTCCTCCTCGAGCACATCCCAAAAGAGATCTAGGGGAGATGAACCCGAATTACCCAAAATTCCAAGATAACGCGGGTCTTCTTTAATCAGTGGGTAGATGCTCATCCATTTGCTGCCGGCTTTGATCTTGCCCTGAGACCTCAGCTCTTTCAAAAGTTCAGTGAACTGCTCACGAGCATGACGCTCTTTTCTTGCCTTTGCGGCTTTCTGTTGTTGACGCGCATCGTTGAATGCCCGCTCAAGAGACTTGATATGGTTTTCAAAGACAGTCAAAATATCGGACTTGCTGAGGGATTTGAACTTATCGTCATTTTGCACCTGGTCATTTGACTGGATGATGGCATGCGCTTCAGACCACCGTGTGTATGGCTCGAGCTCGAGTGACTTCAGGATATTCACCAGCTCATCCATTGCAGCTTTACGCTTAACGGATTCCTGTTCGGCGTGTTCTTTCTTGAGTTCAAGAACATACTCCTCGAAGAGTTGGCGTCTTTCATCCTCATCGTCGGTAGATCTGAAGATAGTCTCGCCCTCAATGATCGGCCGAATGGTCTTCCAGCGACTATAATGTTTGATTTCAGGATGACGCTTCAGCATGGTATTGAAATCTGCTCTGAGCTTAGCGAATCTTTCTTTCGCCCTATCCTTTTCCTGCATGCGAACCTCGACCGCGTATTTTTCAAAGGCTGTCTTGCGGTCTTTGGGGTCTTTCAGAGCACGGTATTGAGGATCCTTAACCGTCGCGCGAATAGTTTGTTCCCAAGACCATTCCGGTTGTACGTTATGGCGTCTGAGCATTTTCATGAACGCATTTTCCGCCTCCTCAAGTGAACCATACTCTGGCTCTGTAGTCGCCCCCAGCATAGGAGCAGCCACAAGCCCATTGGCATCACCGGAACCATATCCGCCACGCCTATCGCCATATCCTCGGTCGAACTCGTCGCGTTCACGCTGCTGTGGATAGGAGGAAAACGAGCTAACACCGCCCGCGACAAACGTCGGCGCCCTATGCGCATAGGTTAGTATGTGAAAATCCAAGAGAAAAAAGATATATAAACGCTCTAAGGTCAAAAGACATACGCTGCGGGCGGAGGTTGGGCCGTCTGAGCTTGCGCCAAAGCATTCTTATAGACATCTGGTATCTCCCAAGTGCTTTGCTTGGTCTCCGTATTGTACCAGTACTTTCGACCACCATCGGCAGTATACTCTTTCCATGGTTGATTCGCCAAAGCACGCTATAGAATAAGACCAGGTTAGTAGATATAAACGTAGATTATGGGAGAAAACGTACCTCGACGGGTGTCATCAATTCCACAGGCTTATTCCATTGTGTGGCTTTTGTCTGAACATTGTAATAGTATACCCTTCCATCGGTGTTGCGAGCCTCCTGCCAAAGAGGAGACGCCCCTGGGCCATTCATCGGATTCATAATGTTTGCGGGTAGCTCCCCAGAGGAACAGTGCTGTCGTTCAGATGGAGCACGCGCGGAGCTCGAAAAAGTAGCGTCGGAAGCTCTGCCATTCCTTTCACCAAATATGTTTGCGTTGTTTGCACCTGCACCCATACACCAAGCATCATCTCCGACGACCCTCGAAACTCTTTTTAAATTGAACGTACATTGACAGAGTTCATTGGGCAATTCGTTCTAATTATCGTGATTGTCGCATGTCGCCTGCTACCTCTATTTGGTAGATGGGCATACGGTAATTGGTCTCACAATGCCGAGCCTCGAAATCCCTGGGGAATTTCTAAGACATTCTGTGCTAGATACAGTTGTCCCGCATGCTTCAGATATAGATCTGGAGGCGGCGCTGACATCTGCCTTGGAAGGGGGAGCGGATGATATATCGTCTGTTCTCTCATTCATACCTCAGCGCTCACTCCTGTTCTTTGGTTTGTAAATGTCTGGTATCCTAATCGAGCTGTCTCTTACTCATAGATAGTTTCATACAGAT